AGTTTGGCATGGTGGGTAAGTGCGTGGACTCTAATCTGGGAGAACCGGGTTTGATTCCCCACTCCTCCACTTGCAGCTGCTGGATGACCTTGGGCAAGCCGTAGTTCTGATAAGAGCTGTTCTTGAAAAGAGCAGTTCTCAGTTAGAGCTCTCTCAGCCCCATCGACCTCACAGGGTGTCTGTTGTGGGGAGGGGAAGGGAAAGGCGTTTGTAAGCCGCTCTGAGACTCCCTTGGGTAGTGAAGGGCGGGGTATCAATCCAATCTCTTCTTCTTCCCTTTCTTGGTTGACTAACGAGTTTCCCTTTGCGTCTCCACTCCAGCCCACTCTGGCCTACACCCACCCTGCCCGCCCAGCTTCCCCCGGCAGCTTCTCCCATGGGACGGCCCCCCAACAGCCACACTCGGTAAGCACCCCTGGGGATGAGGGGAGCAGTGCTTTGTCTTAGCGGGGTGGGGGTGGGGGGTCAAGCCTGGCCCATAGGACGGTGCCTGGGAGAAGGCAGCATCACTCTCTGCGCTCCAGGCTATATGGGGACCTGAGCCAGTGGCTCCCACGCAGGGGGGGTCAAGCCTGGCCCATATGACGGTGCCTGGGAGAAGGCAGAATCACTTTCTCCACTCCAGGCTATATGGGGACCTGAGCCATTGGTTCGCACTGGATCCTGAGACCCAGGTTCAGATCCCCACTCGGCCGGTCTCTCTCTCACACACACACACAGCCTCAACCTACTTCACAGGACGGCTGTGAGACTGAAGTGAATAAACTGATTTTTTAGAAATGTGCTTTGTCCCAAATGGAGGAAAGGCAAGATGAAGGATGTGCCCCTCGGGCAGTCCATGCCATGATGCAGGGGCCGTGCATGCAAGAGAAGGCTCTTGCATGGGCAGGTGTTGATTTTGCCCATTTGCATGTTGGCACCCGCAGGAGGCCCGGAGAGCTTCCCCATTTCAAAAAGGCAAAGTCAGTCTTTGGAGCAGAAGCAAAGTAGCATTTGAGCCCCGCATAACTCAGTGTCCCTCAGACCCTGCGTGGAAGGGAAGGGCTCCCACCACTCGAACAGAATCCCAGGGAGCGACCAAGGTGTCAAGGCCAAGAATTCCCTGGAGACTGAGCCCTACGAGGAAAGGCTGGGGGCCCTGGGAATGTTCAGTTTGAAGGAGAGGAGACTGAGGGGGGACACGATTGCTCTCTGTAAATATCTGAAAGGCTGTCATTGGGAGGAGGGCAAGGAGCCGTTCCGGTTGGCAGCAGAGGAGAGGACCCGAAGCAACGGGTTTCAATTCCATGCAGGAAGGTATCGGGTGGGATATTAGGAAACACCTTTTCACGGTCAGAGTGGTCCAGAGGTGGAATCAGCTGCCGAGGGAGGTGGTGAGCTCCCCTTTGCTGGCAGCTTTCAAGAAGAGGCTGGAGGAATATTTGCCAGGGATGCTTTAGGCTGGTCCTGCACTGGGCAGGGGGTTGAGCTAGATGGCCTCTAGGGCCCCTTCCCACTCTAGGATTCTCCGTGGACCATTGCTGGCTGTGTTTAGCACACACCAATGCTAACCTGCTCAGGATCCTCTCTGTACTACTTCCCACCCTGTATTTATCCTGTCCTCCTTCTGGGAGGGGTGTTGGGGTGTTAACAGGGTTCTCTTCATTTGATCCCAACAAGCTCAATGCCTGGCCTCTCCCTGCCTGTAGACGACGTGTTGCTCTAACGTCTCCATCCCACCGACTTCGCCTTGCCCTTCAGGGCTCCCAGCACAGCCCCTCAGAGGACTGAAACTGGTTATCTGGCTGAAGTCCTTCCCGTCTCTTTTGCCTTGCAGTCTGGGTTCCAGGCCTCTCCCCAGCCAGCGCCCCGCCACCCCTTCATCCAGCACCCCCAAGGCCAGCGTTTCTACCACAAGTGAAGCCACCAGCAGCACGGTTTCGGATGCGCCTTGTGTGAGGAAAGCCCGTCTTCCTCTGTGTGCGACTGAACACGTCTGCTCCTTTAGCTCTTCATCCTCCGTAACTGAATTGCCAGTTTTTGTGACCAGAAATACACTTAGCCCAATTCCTTTTCAGGAGGGTTTGTCTGGAGTATTTTTTTTTCGGGGGAAGGACTAGCCATGTGGGGGACTAGCCATGTGGGGAAGGATATGGGACTAGCCATGTGGGGGAGGGTATGGTTCCGATGTTCAGACTTCACTTTCACCCCTCCCGGCAGTAGTCCAATAATAATAATAATAATAATATTAGTCCAATTAGCAGTCCCAAGCATGGTCGCACAACCACCACTCATTCACACAGAGCTTGGCTCTTCCTTAGCCACAAATTGCTGAAGAGACTGACAGCGAGGAAGGCCAGTGGCACATAGAAAAGTCATCAGATAGTTGAAACAAGCCGCTGGAGCCGGATCCTGCCTGCAGCAGAGGGTTCCGAGCTACCTTCAGGTTTACCCCTCTTTCCCGCCACCCCCTTTGGGTTGCCGAAGTTCTATTTCAGTCCACTCTTGAACAGGAGGCGCCTTTTGGGAAGTCGTCCGCTGCAGGTGTGTTAATCTGCACCCCCAGAAGGAAGCAGCCTCCTTGGGAAGGTGGACAGAGAACTCAGCGGCTGAGGGGTGACAGGATCGAGGTTTATAAGATCACACATGGGATAGAGCAAGTAGAGAAAGAAGTACTTTTCTCCCTCTCTCACCATACAAGAACTCGTGGGCACTCCATGAAATTGCTGAGCGGTCGGGTTAGAATGGATAAAAGGAAGTCCTTCTTCACCCAAAGAGTGAGTCACACATGGAATTCACGGCCACAGGAGGTGGTGGCAGCTACAAGCAGGGACGGCTTCTAGAGGGAATTGGATAAGCATATGGAGCAGAGGTCCATCAGTGGCTCTTAGCCACAAGGTATAGACAGGAACTCTTGGTCTGGGGCAAGTGATACACAGTATTCCTGGTGCTTGGGGGGGGCAGCAGTGGGAGGGCTTCTGGTGTCCTGGCCCCACTGCTGGACCTCCTGAGGGGCACCTGGTATTTCTGGCCATTGTGTGACAGTGTTGGACTGGTTGGGCCATTGGCCTGATCCAACATTGGCTTCTCTTATGTTCTTATATGGAGCAGAGGTCCATCAGTGGCTCTTAGCCACAAGGTATAGATAGGAACTGTCAGGCTGGGGCAAGGGCTTGGGGGGGGGGCAACAGTGGGAGGGCTCCTGGTGTCCTGGCCCCACTGCTGGACCTCCTGAGGGCACCTGGTATTTTTGGCCACTGTAGAGTGGTGGACTGGATGGGCCACTGGCCTGGTCCAACATGGCTTCTCATGTTTTTATGTCTGGGGCGAGTGATGCACTGTATTCCTGGTGCTTGGGGTGGGACAGTGGGAGGGCTTCTGGTGTCCTGGCTCCACTGCTGGACCTCCTGGTGGCCCCTGCGTGACACAGAGTGTTGGCCTGGAGGGGCCACTGACCTGATCGAACATGGGCGTCTCATGTTCTACACGCAAGCTACCCTGATCTTCCCAGATCCCGGGAGCTAAGCGGGACTTGCCCTGGTTAGTATTTGGATGGGAGACCATCAAGGAAGTCCAGGTTTGCCACGCAGGAGCAGGCAAAGGCAAACCCCCTCTGAACATCTCTGGCCTTGGAAACCCTCCAGGGTCACTCGCCCTTCGGCGTCCCGCTTCCCCCCACCAGGCATTCTTGTACAGGCAGAAGAGGCTCTTCTCTTGCACCAGCCAAATTCAGCGCAGAGGAAGCAGGCGGGGTGGCTGCTCCCCAGCCTGTGCTGCGCCCATTCTGCCGGGGGCACAGCAGCACCCCTGGCTCCTTGGAAACACCAACGGCCCAGGCGACCCATGACACACAGAGACGTTCACCCCCTCAGCCTTTCCAGGAGGGCCCCGGCCAGACCCTGGGAAATGAGACACCTGGAGCCAGCTCTTTTCATATTAAACATGTTTTTTTTTTATTGAGGTTGATTAACAAATGTGTTGGATTAACAGGGGAGGAGGAGGCCACAGCGCTGACCCGTCAACAGCAGGGGTGGGGTAGATATGAACCAGGGAAACAGTTGGGGTGCTAGTTGGTTCCCCCATAAGATCCCTACCTTGAACAGCTCTTGGTTACCCAGTACAAAGGGCTTGGGGGTGGGGGGGGAAGAGGGGGTCGTGCTAGAGAACTGCCAGAAAATAGAACATGATTGACAGGGGCCGGAGCCCAGGTTGGGTTCGGGCAAAATGTGCATCTTTACCAGGCAAGCCGTACGTTGCTCCTTTTTTTTTTTTTGGGGGGGGGGGTGCCGTGCTCCCAGCCTGGCAGGGACCTGCCCCCCCAGTTCCAGGTGGGGGAGGGGGGGCTCATGTGCTCTAGAAAGAATTAAGAAGGGGGGGAGGGTTAAGCAAGCTCAGCAACCAGAGCGGTGATCCCAAAAAAAAAAATACCAAAACCACACTGAATGGGTAACCTCCGCGTTGTGGGAAAGGAAGCCATCCAAGACAATTGACCAAACTGCTGCAACCACCCATGAGAAAAAAGCTTCAGATACGTGGGGGGGGGACAGCCCCTCCCCTCCCACCTCCCCTCAACAGAAAGGCTCACAAGAACAAACACATCTGACAGGGTAAAGACTGCGCCGTCTGCAGCTCTCACTGATCTTTAGCTCCGTTTTCGGTTGTTCCTGCAAGGGGGGGCCACTTCTCTCCCACCCCCACCACCTCAGCACAGAAGCGTCAAGCTTGGGGGGAAAAAACCAAAAGAACAATTCAAACACGAGTCTCTTGCAAGGTTTTTTCCTCCTTCTAGCAGTTTAAATATTGTTTCCTTTAAGTGCAAAATTCTCAACATATCTCTTGCCAGAAAACAGCTGTAGTGTTACTAGCACCGGAGAGAGGGAAGGAACTGGGGTGGGGTGGGGTGGGGGAGAGGAAGAGAAACCAAACCAAAAGAAGAAAAAATTAAAAGGAATACATCAGCATCCAGCTTTCTCTTTTTAAAAGACCACAAAATAAAAAGTTTGTTTTCTCTTGTTTAATTCAAAAGGGGGTGGGGGGGAGATTTTGCTTTTTAAAGGAAGAGGGAGAGAGAAAAAAAAAAGATTTGGGTGGTTTGGAGCCAAATCGAGCCAGTCTGCGGGTTGCGATCCTCTCTGGTTCATAACAAGGTAGAGCTGCTGCTGCCCTGGAACAGGAGGAGAGGAAGCGGGGAGAGAGAGCCGTCAGGTCGCGCGGCTCCAGCCCTGGGCTCGCCCTCTCAGCCCTTCCACCCTCTCCCCGCCAAGCTGGCCCTGGGCCCCCGCCCGCACTCACCTGTGGTTCCTTTATTTAGCCATGGCCTTAATAGCAACCGCAGCTTCCTCGGTCATTGCAGACAACACGGTGATCTGAAAGGAAAGGGAGGGTTGTTTCCCATTCTGGAGATTTGGGCGGGGGGGGGGGGGAGAGGACCTCGCTGGGGTACAAGGCCACCGAGCCCCCCCCCCCCCTAAAGCAGAGGTGTCAAAACTCATTCGTTATGACATAGCGGGCCAGGCCACGTGTGCCATAAAATGTAATGCCAGGTACCAGAGGTATAAACTGTATAAAGGACTGCAGCTGGCAAGCTCCCAGTTGTTGTATCCTCACTGCAAGGAAAACCCACATGGGTGGACTGGGGAGCCAGCGGTGCAGCACTGGGCAGACGCTCCCACGCTGCTTGACTGCTGCAGACGAGGTTGTTCAACCATGCTGAAGCCACAATCGGAGTGGCTCCTCCCACTGCCCCCTCAAGCAGTCTCCTGTTCCCTCTCTTGCACTAGTTGCTCACGGGCCACATAAGAGCCCCGGACTGGCCCTCGGGCCTTATGTCTGACATCACAGCTCTAAAGCACTTGTTTCCCCCGGGGGAACTGACCTCTGTCCTCCAAGGACTGGTCGTAATAGTAGGAGAGCTGCTCCAGGAAACACCTGGAAGTTGCCAACCCTCATCTTCCCTCCTTGGGTCGTGCAGATCCCCGCCCAAGGTGCTGAGGAAAGCAGAGCTGCCCCCTTACCAGAATTTCTTCGCCACAGTCATATTTCTGTTCAATCTCCTTGCCCAGGTCTCCCTCAGGAAGGCGCAGGTCCTCCCGCACTTCTCCGCTGTCCTGGAGCAGGGAGAGGTACCCATCCTGGATCCCAATAAGCTGGAGGGGGGATGGGGAGAATGGAGAGAAGGGGGGAGAAACGCTGTAAGCAGGGAGCCCGCCGACGGCCCCTCCCCACCTCACCCCATGCTGCTGCGCCAGCCTCCGGGAAAAGCCACACCCATCGCCACACTCCAAAGGGCAACAGCCAGAAACCAGCTGTCCTGAGGAAGCATTGCTAGTTATCAGACAGACACCCACCCGCCCTCACTCACTCCCCAGCGGGGCTACACTAGCATCCAGCAGTCCTCCGGGAAGGGCAGACCCAGGAGCACTCCTTCAGGTCAGTTCACGCCTGCAACTTTGACCTCCCGCCCAGAGGCACAGAGACCAGCAGGAACAGTCCTGAGGCTCTGGGGCTTTCTGCATCCTTCAAAGCCCCTCCCACTGGCAGAGTTCACCCCACTGCACCCGCGGCAACGCAGGCACAGCCCCGCAACCATGAAAAAGGACTCCCAGGCTGCCCACAAAGATGCCTCCTGCCAGCCCAGGACTCCTCAACGTATTCACGGAACCCTCTTCCAAAGCCACGCCCGCCCCTGCTCCCCGGGTCGGCCGCACATCCCGCCTCTGCCCACCTACCTGGAAGTCATTTCTCTTAATATTGGGCACATCCATGTTGTGGGTTGAAGGGCAGATATCTTCGTATTTCTTCCCGGTGAAGATGTCTATGCCAACAAGATGCACCTGAGCGGGAGGGGGGAGAAAGAATTAGCTAGGCATCCCAGCCGGGCTACTCACCGGCTGCGCGGCTCAGAAACTGGTGGCCAGACGGTCAGGGAGGGCTGGGTTCAAAGTCCCGCTCGGCCATCGGCCTTGGGCCAGTCACTATGCCTCAGGCCAAGAGGGCAGGCTCTGGGGGGGCCAAAGGGAGATGGGGAGAGCCATAGAGGCCTTCCTACTGCCCCCCCCCCGAGATACCATGGACTGCTTGGGGGGGGGACACCCCTGCCCCCACTGGAAGGCAGCTTCACAAGACATTCTGGAACTGGAGCCCAGCCCTCTCCAGGAAACTTGCTCCTGCTCGGGACCTCAAGCCACCCCTCGGTGCTCCGGCTCAGCTCAGCCTACCTTCACTGTGTGCCTCACGCTCGGCCCTCGTGGCCCCCAGCTGCCCGCCCTCCCCGCATCATGAACACACAGGGAGCTGCCTTACACCCAATCAAACGCTGGGTCCATGAAGGGGAGCACCGGCTCTCCAAGTCTCGGGTGGAAGTCTTTCCCGTCACCTCCTGAGAGCCAGTCTGTTGCCGTGGTAAAGTGCGCAGACTCTAATCTGGGAGGACCGGGTTTGATTCCCCGCTCCTCCACTTGCAGCTGCTGGAGGACCTTGGGCAAGCCATTGTTCTGTCAGAGCTGTTCTCTCAAGGACAGTTCTGGAAAGAGCTCTCTCAGCCCCGCCTACCTCACAGGGTGTCTGTTGTGAGGAGGGGAAGGGAAAGGAAGGGAAAGGAGTTTGCAAGCCACTCTGAGTGAAGGGCGAGGTACCTGGGGAATCTCTTCTTCCTGCCTGGTCCTTTTAAACTGGAGGTGCTGGGGATCGAACCTGGGACCTTGTGAATGCCAAGCAGAGGCTCTGCCACTGAGCCACGGCCCCTTGGAGGCCAACACCTTCCTGGAAACACCAAACCCACAGCAGGCCAACTCCAAAATTAAACAGCGGCCTGCAGAGTCTCTCCCCTCCTCTTCTGCCTGGCCTGCTTCCGCCACGATGGCCCCTTATCAGGGACGCCCGACACTGAGAGCTTGAGCTGGTGCGTCTGCGCTGGGCTGGGCTGCCGCCTCCCACACCAACTGGCAGAGCCAAAGCGGCATCAGCGAAGGCACCACCTGCCAGGAGAAGCAAGCCGCAGAGGCTTTAACAGTTTTCAGACTCGGCGGGAAGGACGAGTCCCACAGACCCCACGGCCAGGCCGAGGCTTGGGGAGAGAGCCCAGGAAATGGAGCCCACACACACACACAGCGGCAGGGCCGAGAAACAAGCAGCTGAGGAAAGGAGGAGCGCCATTAAGCCAATCTGGAGGGAATTCTGCCAGCTACGGTTTCTGTTCTCATTATCTAGCGACCCCACAAGGGGCAAGGGGCGTTAGAGGAAGGGGAGCAGCGCACACTCACAATGGGTCTCACAGGCCAATTTTTTTGGCTGCAGCCTACTAGCCTGTATTATGGGTTCCCCTTCATTCAAGAGGGAACTGGATAGACATCTGGAGCAGGGGTCCATCAGTGGCTCTTAGCCACCAGGCATAGAGAGTAACTCTCGGTCTGGGGCAAGGGATGCTCTGTCTTCTTGGTGCTTGGGGGGGGCAGCAGTGGGAGGGCTTCTGGTGTCCTGGCCCCACTGATGGACCTCCTGATGGCACCTGGTATTTCTGGCCACTGTGGGACACAGAGTGTTGGGCTGGTTGGGCCATTGGCCTGATCCAACACTGGCTTCTCTTCTGTTCTTCTATGGAGCAGAGGTCCATCGGTGGTTATTAGCCACAAGGTATAGATAGGGGCTCTCGGTCTGGGGCAAGGGATGCTCCGTATTCTTGGTGCTTGTGGGGGGCCAGCAGTGGGAGGGCCTCTGGTGTCCTGGCCCCACTGATGGACCTCCTGATGGCCCCTGGTATTTTTGGCCCCTGTGTGAGACAGAATGTTGGACTGGATGGGACACTGGCTTCTCTTACGTTCCTATGAGCCAGCATGAGTCAGCCGTCAGAATGCCTGTCCCCAGGCCGGAGTCCCTCTCCTTCTACACAGGGCAGTCTAACACGCCGTCAGTGACGCGGGGCGAAAAACTTCCCCGAACAGCAAATTTCCCAATGCTATATTCTTTCCGTGGTAAATATTCTGCCCTGCACATATAAATATAGTCTACTTATTTATAGCTGTCAGGACTGTAAATCAAATCTGCTAGATGGGCTAAATGAGGGACGTGAAGCAGGGGATGAACCCTGGCGCTCGCAGGCGGCGTATCTGCTTTCTTTGGCTAGCGGGACTTAAAAGTTTGCTATCGGTGTTTCAAATCTGGATCGGAACGTCTTTTCCTGGAAAAGCCACACCACCGCACGATGTGAGCTTCTGCGGGTATGAGCCCAGCCCGTTGGGGCATGAAGTGGGCTGATGAAGCAGACGAGACGCGCGCTGGGGGATAACCAGGGTTGTGTACTGGTTAGAGTGGGGGACCAGGATCCAGGAGAGCCAGGTTCGAATCGCCACTCTGCCACGGAAGCTCGCTGGGTGACCTTTGGCCAGTCACACACTCTCAGCCTCACACAAAGAGTTGTGGAGGAGAGGAGAGTGTTGTGAGCTGCTTTGGTTCCCCCGCTGGGGAAAAAGGCAGGGTATACAGGAAACAAGTAAATAACCAGGGCAAGTCCCTCCCCCCATACACACTCACGCACAAAGGAGAGAAGAGATTGGATTTCTACCCCGCCATTCACTACCCAAAGGAGTCTCAGAGCGCCTTACAAACTCCAGTTTGGTGTGGTGGTTAAGTGCGCTGACTCTAATGTGGGAGAACTGGGTTTGATTCCCCACTCCTCCACTTGCACCTGCTGGATGACCTTGGGCTGTTCTTGAAAAAGAGCTCTCTCAGCCCCACCGACCTCACAGGGTGTCTGTTGTGGGGAGGGGGAGAGAGTTTGTAAGCCACTCTGAGACACCTTTGGGTAGTGAAGGGCGGGGTATAGATCCAATCTCCTCTTCTTCCGCTTCCCCTCCCCACAACAGACACCCTGTGAGGTAGGCGGGGCTGAGAGAGCTCTCTCCAGAACTGCCCTTGAGAGAACAGCTCTGAAAGGAACTTGTGACTGACCCAAGGTCATCCAGCCAGGTGCAAGTGGAGGAGTGGGGGACTCAAACCCGGTTCTCCCAGATTAGAGTCCGCGCACTTCACCACTACCCCAAACTGGTTCTCTAGCACCTGCCCCGCTGCACTGCCCACAGCGGAAGGGACTGAGGCCGGGGGGACGAGGCACACTTACTTTGGCATGCCCGTGCTTGCCGGTCTTGGAGGTCGACATCTCCACAATCTTGCAGGGACGCCCTTTGAGCACCACAAAGCCATTTTTGCGGAGAGCGGAGCACTGCATGGGGAAGGTGGCGGAGGCCCCGGCATCGCCGGTCTCGAAGTCTAGGTCATCAGCCATGGTGGATCAGGTGTTACGAAAACTGTCAGGGGGGGGGGGGGGGGGAGAGAAAAAAGATGAATCGAAGGAAAGGAACCGCGGGATACCAGCCTCTGTGGGAAGGGGCTCCGGTCGCCCAAAACCACTTGGCAGCAGAAAGAGGAAAAGTGCCCATGAACTAGGCATAAACAACTCGGCACACTGTGTGCGACCCTCCTCCAGGCAGGAAGCAGTTTTACTGTAACAGACATCTGACCTAGCATTTTCAGAACCTCAGCTTTAATAAAAAAAAGGGGGGGATGTGTAAGTTCCTAGAGGCCATGACCGTGGAGTCTGACACACCTCAACTTCTGTCCGGAGAAGTCACAGGCGAACGTGTGAAGGGAACTCTGTGGCCGACTGGAGACGCCACAGGGCTCTCAGGGCTCGTGGCAGCCGGTTCTCCACTCGGCCCACCCCACGCCAGCCACTTCGGGCCACACAGCTCTTCAGGAAACAAACTGTGAGGAGCGGGTGGGCCTTCCTCGCCACATGGCCCCAAGGCCCTTAAGTAGCATCCTGCCACAGGGCAGGGAGACGGCTTGCATGTGACCTTCAGTACGCGTCCCAGGATGCCTCCGACGACGACGGAGCTCCCAAGGCAGCGTGACGAGTCAAGCAAATCCAGGCACGGGCATACTGACCCCGGGCAGAGAGAAGGGCAGGCTCAAAGCAGCAGCCACTTCGCCTGCCAACTGGGCAACTGCTCCCTTGACAGGAGGTGCATTCCAGTGGCACGCAGGACGGGTATCTAAGAAGTCCAGTGCCGCCGCTCCGACCTGGATAGCCCAGGCAACCCTGGTCTCGTCAGATCTCAGAAGCTGAGCAGGCTCGACTCCGGCAAGTCCTTGGATGGGAGACCTCCTTGGAACATCAGCGGCCGGGAGGCGGGGGCAGGCTGGAGTCAGCCACCTCCCTGAATATTCTCCAGGCCCCCGGCAGGGGTCAGTCCCCAGAGGTCGCCATGACTTCCAGGTGCACACACACACACTCACAAACGCATATTTTTTTAAAAAAAAATGCAAAAAATAAAACGTCTGATGCCCAGATCTGAGAATTTGACATTTTCCAGTGTAGCTCAGGACTAATGCTCCCTGTAAGCGGTGGAGTCTTGTGAGCAAAAATCCTACTTTGTGAGCTACTGGCATGAAAGTTGTGAGCCATTTGGCTACCGCATAAATTAGTCTGCTCTGGAGCCCTCCTTCCTGAGCAGAGACAAAAATGTGTGAGCTGGAGGCTAAAAAACTGTGAGCTGGCTCACAACTAACTCCGTTTAGAGGGAACACTGCTCAGGACTGAAGACAGGCCTCCCCAGCAGCACCTCCCCACGGCGCTTTCCCAAACATCCCAGGAGCTTCCACCAGCCCCTAAAGGACTTTAAGAGTCACTCCCCTTGGGACGTGGCCATTGACTAACCTGGCTCCAAGCATCCAGAGCCGCAGGTCAAACTTTTCACCTCTTGCCCTACGCAGCCAATTCCCCACCTGTGTGCCCAGGGGCTACATGCCTGCTAACACCTGTGTGCCCAGGAGCTACATGCCTGCTAACACCCCTCTAAGGCCACCTGCTTGGTCAGCAACGCCCCACCCTTTGTGTTGAAGGAGCTTTTCCATGAAACCAGATGCCACCCATGAAGACGGCAACAGGAGACCACCAGCAAGGAACTGGGATCCCTTAAGAAGTACTGAGGAGCAGGGCTCCCTCTAAGCTGAGTTAATGCAAGCTAGATCACGGTTTTTTAGCCTCCGGCTCACAGATTTTTGTCTCCGCTCAGGGAGGAGGGCTCCAGAGCAAACTAATTTACGCGGTAGCCAAATCGCTCACTCACAACTTTAATGCCAGGAGCTCACAGAGTAGAATTAGCTTGGAGGGAGCCTTGCTGAGGAGCCCTCCCTATGACTCGCCCTCACCTAGCCACAGCAAAGCCAGTCTCTCCGGGGGGGGGTCGTCTCTTCCCCCACCCCTCACTCTTGCAGTGTTGAAGCCAGCAACAGAGATGGGGCCTGAGGAAGCAGACGCAGACACATTTACACACACGCCCCTTGCTGAACTCATCTTGACGAAAATGCTTGATGCATTTTGGTGGACCAGGAGGTTAGAAAGCTTTTCAAACAGGAACAGAGAAGACGAAGACGAAGGACCAAGGGCTCTCCCTGCACCGAAGACAACTTCAGCCAGCAGGTGAATGAAGGGTGAATCTGACAGCCGGAGCGTTCACGTTCGAAAGCTCCCCCAAATCTTGTTGGTTTCCAATGTGTTACCGGACTCAAATCTAGCTCTTTGACTGCAGCCCAGCAAAAGCCACCTCCTTCATTCAGAGCCTCATTCTTTCCTTAACTTTCCTCCCAGGGGCTTGCAAGACAGTTGTGCCCGTGGCTCATGGCCAGGAAAAACTAGCCAAGGCTCCCTCTAAGCTGTGGAGTCTTGTGAGCGAAAATTCTACTTGGCGAGCTACTGACGTAAAAGTTGTGGGCGAGCGATTTGTCTACTGCATCAATTAGTTTGCTTCGGAGCCACCCTTCCTGCACGGAGACAAAAATGTGTGAGCCAGAGGCTAAAAAACCGGGAGCTAGCTCACACTGACTCGGCTTAGAGGGAACACTGGCCCACGAGAATTGCTGTTTTCTTCCTATATAAAGGAAGCTTGCAAAACCCAGGACAGTAAAGAATGAGGCTTTCTGCCCCAGGAACTGCGATGAGTGATGGAAGCCCTAAAGTAGCGGAACCCAGAAGGGCCCTGGAGGGGCAGCAAGTGCCATTCCCCAGTCAAGACCAGTGCTCCCTCTAAGCTGAGTTAGTGTGAGCTAGCTCACCAGTTTTTAGCCTCCGGCTCACACTTTTGTCTCGGCTCAGGAAGGAGGGCTCCAGAGCAAACTAATTCATGCAGCAGCCAAACTGATCGCTCACAACTTTGATGCCGGCAGCTCACAAAGTGGCATTTTTGCTCACAAGACTCTGCCGCTTAGGGGGAGCGTTGGTCAAGACCAGTAAGCCCCACAACCCACCTTTTCTGAGCACCTGGCTTTCCACCCTCCAGCACAGCTCTTCCTCCCGCGTTGTGTGTCTCCTCTTAAGACACACCTTCCAGGTAGCCAGGAAAGCCACGCCCTCACCTCTCCCCCCTCCCTGCATGGGGCCCAAGGAGGAATTTCAGGTGGAGAGCCAATAAACCCCTGCAGGTGCCCCGGGATCCTCCTCGCTGCCCTGTGCTCAATCCCCGCTCAAGTAGCTCTCTGCCTTCATACCCAATAAACCGCTGCAGGTGCCCCGGGATCCTCGCTGCCCTGTGCTCAATCCCCGCTCAAGTAGCTCTCTGCCTTCATACCAAGAATCAGGAATGGGACCAAGCCTCCCCCCACCAAAATCCTTCTGCAACTTCCTCTTGCACTCAGGGTCAGTGTTCACTCTAAGCTGAGTTCGTGTGAGCTGGCTCACAGTGTTTTAGCCTCCGGCTCACACATTTTTGTCTTTGTTCCGGAGGGATGGCTCCAGAGCAGACTAATGTATGCAGCAGCCAAATGGCTCGCTCACCACTTTAATGCCAGTAGCTCACAAAGTAGGATTTTCGCTCACAGGACTCCAGAGCTTAGAGGGAGCATTGCTCAGGGCTTCTGAGGAGGCTGCAATTCAGCGTGTACAAAGCCCAGGCCTTGCGGTCTCTTGCAGGGACGTGGCCCTAGAGGGGGCCAGAACCCTTCCCATCTTCCAGCAGGGCAGGGGGTGGGGGACGCAGGCGGCACTCCCGAGGAGGTGATGCAGCCCAGCCCCAGGAATTCAGACAAAGCAGACGCAGGCACGAGCGGGCTGCAGCTGCTTGCTAGTACGCGGCCACCCCTCTCCGCCGCGCCGGGAGAGAAGAGGAGATTCATTTCCCTTCTCCAGGGAGCTCCGGAGCTGCTTTTAGCGCCACCACCGCAGCCGGTCCCTCCCCCGAGCCACTCCTCACCTGCCCCGGGCGCCGATAATTGATTAGGACAACTGTCAACCATAATAGCAGCTCGGGCAGAATGGAATGACAGCCCCTTCTGAGAAGCGGCCCTATCCCCGCCCAGAGCCCCAAAGCGCGACCGGAGCAGGACCACGTGCTTCCGATTTTGCAGAGGGAAAAGGGGGAGGGAGCTGTGGAGCCAGGCAGGAAGTTTTACCCCACTTTGCAAGCGGGCGGCCGGAGAGAGAGAGAGAGAAGCAGCTCCCCTCCGTGCCACATGTTGGGAGAGAGAGACTCCCTCGCTTCCTGCCAACTCCAGGCATGATTCAGCTAAGCCGCCACTGCGGAGAGCCAGCCCCAGCCACATGGCCCAGGGAAGAAGGGGGGGGGAGCAGGACGGACCACACTGCTCAATGCGGAGGGCAGCACCCCAGCACAGCCACCTCACGTCCAGAACGGCACAAGGGGCAGGGGGGGGGAACCCCTCTCTGAATGGGTTCAGAGAGGAGCTGTGATGAGCTGCGGTAGAAGTACTGGATTTGAGTCCAGAGACCAACAAGACTTCCCACATTTGAGCTTTCCGAGAGTCTGAGGAAGAAACCCTTGATTTTCTAAGGCTCAAACCCTGAAAACCTCGTTAGCCTCTAAGGTGGTGCTACGGGACACAAACCTAGCTCCTCTCTGGATGCAGCACTCTTGGTCACTGGCTCTCTCTCTTCCCCATATGCTCAAAATGCCCCACGGCCGAGTTTGCAGCAGCCCAAGCACACGCAGGGCCCAGGGGGGGTCTCTGTTATGCACGGCAAGCCCAGCCACCATTCGCTCCCCTGCCTCCGTCCCCCACTAGCTCAGAGGCGAGGTGCACAGGGTGGGAAATGACGGGCGATATTCCCCCTGAGCCCAGGGGAGAAGCACCTCCCCCCCACCGCCGCACACATACAGCAGTTGCTATTAGGGGAGGAATTCCCGGCCTCAGCTTCTCTCAATGTCTTAAGGGACTCTCCACCAATGTTCCCTCTCTAAGCTAAGGAGTCTTGTGTGCAAAAATTCTATTTTGTGAGCTACTAGCAAGCGATTTGGCTACTGCATAAACTAGTTTGCTCTGGAGCCCTCCTTCCTGAGCTAAGGCAAAAATGTGTGAGCCGAAGGCTAGAAAACTGTGAGTTGGCTCACACTAACTCGGCTGAGAGGGAACACTGCTCTCCACCCTGATTATTGCCAGCCGCCTCGGGCCAAGAGAAAAGGCAGGATGCCAATGTTTTAATAAATAAAGAAACCTCTAAACCTGGGGGCTAAGCATGTTGGCTGTCTCCCTGGGAATTAAATAACCTGCTCACCTGCCCAGGCACCCTCTGGCAGACGAGCCTCTTGCCCCATTCACCCCACCCCTCAGTCGCATGGACAAAAAGTGTCCTTTCTGTCCTGGACCGACTCGATCGGCCACAGTTCCTTTTGGAAACACCCCCCCCCCAATTCCAGATTAAGACATCGAATCTTGCAACCAACCGGATGGCCCCAGTCCTCCACGCACCCAACCCACGCCTGCCCCTCTGAAGGGGAACCGTGCACCTCTACACCCCCCCTGAACCCCGTACCCCAAGAGCCCATCCCCATCATCAGAGCGCTCTCTCCTGCCCCCCACCCACACGAGATTCAGTGTAGTGGTCAGCAGTGTTCCCTCTAAGCTGAGTTAGTGTGAGCTAGCTCACGCTTTTAGCCTCTGGCTCACACATTATTGCCTTAGCTCAGGGATAGCTCCAGAGCAAACTAACTTATGCAGCGGCCAAATCGCTCAGCTCACAACTTTAATGCCAGTAGCTCACAAAGCAGAATTTTTGCTCACAAGACTCCACAGCTTAGAGGGAGCATTTTGGTGAGACTAGGACCTGGGAGACCTCAGGTTCGAATCCCCGCTCTGCCAGGGAAGCTGGCTGGGTGACCCTGGGCTAGTCACGTAGACTCTCGGCCTCCCTCCCTCACAGGGCTGTTGTGAGGATAGAATGAAGGAGGAGAGAGTTATATAAGCCACCTTGGGTTCCCCCGTTGGGGATGTGGAAAGTGGGATAAAAAAGGAAGCAGATAGCGAATATCTTCCCCCAGGCAGGCAGAGCTTTGATTCTCACCCCAGCCTCCTCCACGTCCCCTGCCGCCTGGGCTGTTCGCCTCGGCCTGATTCTGAAGCCCCGGACACCTCCGCCTGGAGGAACCCAGCCCGATCCAGAGCCCTCGCCCAAATCGGTCATGCCACACCGCTCCCCTCCTGCTCAAGTTCAGGCCAGGACAAGCTCACCCCCCACACACACCGCCCAGGAAGGCTTTTGGGGCACCCCAGTGAAGCACCCTGCAGGCCCTCGGTGAGCAAAGGCCCTTGGGAAAGGGGCCCCAAGAAGCCCCTCCGAGACACCCTGCAAGCCCCCCTGCTCTGCAGCAGCCCCCCCATACACACACAGAGAGAGAGAGAGAGAGCCTCGAAGTCCGGTGTGTGTGGGTGTGCCTTTTCTTAAAAGGTCTCGTCCGGCTCCAGAGAAGCCCCAAAGACAAAGGGGCTTCCTAAATTCCATCGGGCTTCCCTCCTCGCAGCCTCCCCACCCCCTCCCAGCCCTTGTAAAGACCACAAAATAAATCCTCCCGTCGACCTCCCCCCTCCAGGAAATGAGACCCCACCACCACCACCAAGGCTCCCTCTGAGCTGCGGAGTCCTGTGAGCAAAAATCCTACTTTCTGGGCTCCTGGGCATTGAAGCTGTGAGCGAGCGATGTGGCTGTTGCATAAAGTCGTGTACTCTGGAGCCCCATCCTTCCCGAGCGAAGGCAAAAATGTGTGAGCCGGAGGCGAAAGAACTGTGAGCTGGCTCACACTCACTCCGCTGAGAGGGAACACTGCACTGGAGCCCTCCTTCCGGAGCTGAGGCAAAAATGGGTGAGCCGGAGGCTAAAAATACTGTGAGCTAGCTCGCACTGACTCAGCTTAGAGGGAACACTGCACTGGAGCCCTCCTTCCGGAGCTGAGGCAAAAATGTGTGAGCCGGAGGCTAAAAATACTGTGAGCTAGCTCACACTGACTCGGCTTAGAGGGAACACTGGCTGCAATGCTCCCTCTGAGCTGTGGGGTCTCGTGAGCAAAAATTCCACTTTGTGAGCTCCTGGCATTAAAAGCTGTGAGCGAGCGATTTGGCTGCTACATAAATCAGTTTGCTCTTCTGGAGCCCTCCTTCCTGGCCTAAGACAAAAATGTGTGAGCCGGAGGCTAAAATACTGTGAGCTGCCTCACACTAACTCAGCTTGGAGGGAACACTGATTTATTACCGACACAGTGGGAATCCACAAAACATGGATTCTGTTGTTCACGAGAATAAAAACCATGAAGAGAAAAAAGTCTCCTCAGCCTCACAACTGAGGTGAGAACAGCGATCCCCCCTCCCCCCCGCCCTCCCCCGCCGCGAGCTCAACCGCCGCCGCCGCTGCCTGCTGCAACCCAGCCCGCAGTGCGCACGCGCACTTATCGCCTCCCCTCGCCCTTCCCCCCCCCGCGCCGCCGCCACCTTTTCCCCCCGCACGCGCACTACGCACGCCCAGCCCAGCGCGAGGCGGCCGCGGCCAGGAAGGCACCGCCCCCCGCGCCTGCGCACACGGCGGTGACGAAGCAAGAGAGGGTCGCCCTCCGCCTCCGGCCGGCTCTGAGCACGCGCGCCGCGCGCCACGGGGAGGAGCGGGCGGCAACCAGAGCGGAACCCCTCACCGCGGCGCGCATGCCCGACGCAGGAAAGGGAGGGTTGCCTCTTCGGTGCGCATGCCTACGCAGAAGGTCCCGCTTCGTCACTGAAGGGCCACACCTATCGCAACGCGCAGGCGCCTAGAACTGCGGCCATTTGCGCGCTGGGGGCCCCGGGCCTGGTTCCAGCAGCGGCTTGCGCCGGAGCGCATGCGCACTGGGGAAACTCCGTTCTGGCCCCTTAAAGTCCGCTTCGGCATGCTCGTCGCTTACCATAGAGCGGGTGGGAGAGAGCGTCTCGCGCAGACTTTTTTCTTTTTTGCCCCTGGCGTGGGCCCACGCGGACCTCTCCGGCCATCTTGGGCGAGGGTGGCCGCCATGTTCACCATGGCAACCGTGTAGAAGTGCGACCCGTTGCAATCCAATCCATGCCATTCTGAAAAAGAAAACTTACTAAAGCAAGCGCTCCGCCGGCAGGCTGCAAACGCGACTGACGCACTCGTAGCCGTTGGCTGACATTGTACTGGGGAACCTTTGCGATCTTTAGGGTTCCCAACCTCCAGCTAGGGCCTGGAGGTCGCCCAGAGGAACAGCTGATGATCTGCAGATTGCAGAGATCAGTTTCCCTTGGAGAAATCTCCAGCCTTAGAGGGCAGATTCAGTGGTCTTGCCAGATCCACCCTGGCCACCAGCGGGGGATGGAAGGGTCAGGTTGCCAGCTCCAGGTTAGGAATCCCCTGGAGATTTAGGGGCGGAGCCTGGGGAGGACACGGGGACCTCCGTCGGGTACAACGCCATGTTCTCCAGGGGAACCGATCTCGCTAGCCTGGAGGTGAGCTGTAATTCCAGGGGGGGGGTGCCCCCAGGTCCCACCTGGAGGCTGGGTTCTGTAATGGTGGACCACAGATTCCAGGTGGAATCCCTCCCCAAGTCCCCCCCTCCACAGGCAGTGCCCCCAAATCTACTTATTGGTTTACTTAAACGTAGCAAATCTTCAGACATTTCCTAGGCTGGAGTCGGCCACCTTAACCTCACAGTCACACACAGAGCAATAAGCCCAAAGAGCATTAGCTATTTGAAGAAGAAGGAGATTGGATTTATACCCGGCCCTTCACTGGGAGTCTCAGAGCGGCTCACAAACTCCTTTCCCTTCCCCTCCCCACAACAGACACCCTGTGAGGTAGGCGGGGCTGAGAGAGATCTCTTGAGGACTGCTCCTGAGAGAACAGCTCTGAGAGAACTGTGGCTTGCCCAAGGTCATCCAGCAGCTGCAAGTGGAGGAGTGAAGAAGAGATTGGATTTATACCTTGCCCTTCACTGGGGGTCTCAGAGCGGCTCACAAACTCCTTTCCCT